TTTATGGCATTATTGAAAGGACCATGAAATCTACTTTCTGCTGACATGCGAAGAGTAAGTGTCAGATAACCTTTTGACCTTCACCATTTTTATGGCTTTAGGCCTAAAAAAAAGATGTTTTCGAGAACCCGACCCTACCTAGCAAATAGGGGTCGACCCTATTTTTTTCCATTTTCAAAAAAAAATAAGTTTATCAAAAAAATAAAAAAATCTGATATGTCAATATGTGATATTATGTCAATAAAAAACAAAACAAAAAACAAGCAAACATTTTCAGTTAGATGCAATGTATATCGACGTATTTTGACCCAACAATCACAACCCAGTTGTCTACGCAGCTCGAACAGCGTCGATCTCTTATCGGCGATATTGTTGATGTCCTTGTTCATTGCAGTACAGGTGAAACTCGATTTATGCAAGCGGCAGGACCACTGGCATTCTGTATACAATGTCATAGGAACAGCGTTGTCCATTATATACTACTGGTAGTGAAACGCTGGTAGTAATACGTCCGAAAAATTGCACACATCGATCGGCTTATTTAAAAAAAAAAAATCCTTACCTACCCTACCTAATTTTTTCAAGACCGTTCTCGGAAACACATCATTTATTTTTTTAGGCCTTATTGAAAGGGCCATGAAATGTACTTTCCGCTGACATGCGAAGAGTAAGTGTCGGATAACCTTTTGACCCTCAAGAGGAGGGTTAAACATTGATTTGTTGACTGTTAACAAAGGACTGAACTGCTTTTGCTATTATTAGAGCCCATACCTATGTGAATGTGAGGCTACAGTTGCACAGTTTAATTGCAAAGGCAAATGTTTGTTGAACAAGGTTTACGCTCCTTAAATCATATTATTTTCTATAGCACCCTGAAGGCTGAATAAGTGAATGCTCACGTGGGTAGGCAAAAACACGGGGCAGCCCATGGCTGGCACGCTTCTAATCATAATTGTTGCCTGCCAACCTGCAATGCACATGTGTCTGCAATGCATAGAGAATAGGTGGGTGCGAAAGTGTAGCTGATCGAATTGGCTACGAAAGTCAGTCAAGAATGTATAAGAAGTCTTGCTATGCACAAATGAATTTATCAGCAGAACACCAGACACCAGATGAGCCCTGTCGCACTGCGGCACTTGTTATTGAACCGTTTCAAGTGTCTGTGGTTTAGTGTATCTGTAGACTGGACTGTAAGAGATGGAAAGATTAAGTATCGGTCTGTCGCTATTGTCCCTGTGCTGCTAGTCATTTTTCAGTGTCCCGGCAGTACATTTATCTATTAAAACACTTCCTAGCTACCTAAATTGTTTTTTCATCGCAATTCCAGAGTACTGAAAAGTTGGATTTTTTAAACCTGTTCATTTTAGTTCATTAACCATTCAACAGCAACTCATTAAATGAATCAGTCGATTCACCAATTTCGTACTAAAACTTTGTTTGGTGCATACACTACTGCCTGGTTGCGCAGTTAATTTTGGGATTGAATCGGCAACACTTCCTCTACCACTGCAGGGTTCTCCAAGAGCACTTATAGCCTTGCGGCCCGCCAAGCTATCGTCGAGCCCCGCCATCCTAAAATGCACTCGCCACTCTAAATATCATAGCCGCCATGCTAAAACTAGGATCGTAAAGGCAGCCTCGCCATGCTATAATGAAAAAGCTTCGAGAACCCTGCACTACCAGGGGAATAGTAAATTAAATGATGTTATGCTGCATACTATGGCCAGGTAACATGTTTGCATGATTACATTTTGTTTAAATGTTTTACAAATTGGTACTGTTTTAGAGGGGGCACAATCATATAAAACCATAACACTTGTGTTTCATTATTCCAGAGCTTGTTCAAAATCCACTCAAGATGTCGAGGCGTCGTCACAGCAGTGATGAGGAGGAGGTTGATCGCAAGCAACCCAAGCGAGCAAAAATATCGGAGCCAACCGAAATCGAAGACCGTCTGGAGTCTCTTATAACTAGAGTTGGTGAGAAGAGTACATCTTCATTGGAGAGTAATCTGGAAGGTCTTGCTGGAGTGCTAGAAGCTGACCTATCTAATTACAGACAAAAGATAATGAAAATCCTATGTCATTGCGCAATTAAGATGCCAGAGAAAACGACGGTGTATACCACACTTGTCGGGTTGCTGAATGCACGCAACTACAACTGTGGTGGTGAGATCGTGGAGCTACTTGCACGAAACCTGAAGGATGCACTCAAACGCTGCGTGTTTGAGAATGCCAGAACGCTCGTACGTTTTCTCGCCGACCTCGTGAACTGCCATGTCATAGCGGCTGGCTCTTTACTTCAGATGCTCGACGATTTTGTTGATGTGACTCTAGAGGATTCGATCCCACAGGTGCGATCTGATTGGTATGTGTATGCTGTGCTTTCCGTCTTGCCTTGGGTTGGTAGAGAACTTCACGAGAAGAAGGAACCGGAGTTAGAGCGACTGCTGTCCACCATCGACAACTACATGAATAAGAGGCAGAAGGTTCACGTTCCAGCGCTGCGTGTGTGGTCGTCTGACTACCCTCATCCTCAGGAGGAATACTTGGACTGCTTGTGGGCACAGATTAAGAAGCTGAAGATGGATCGCTGGCAGGAGCGGACGATCGCGCGGCCGTACTTGGCGTTTGACAGCATTCTGTGCGAAGCCCTTCAGCACAACGTGCCGCAGGTCATCCCGCCGCCACATGGCGAGACGTGCCGCTACCCGTACCCGAGCGTCGTGTTCCGCATGTTTGATTACACGGACGTCGCCGACGGGCCGCCGCTGCCCGGCGCGCACGCGATCGAACGCTTTCTCATCGAGGAGAACCTGCACCGCATCGTCCGCACCAACTGCCAAGAGCGGAAGGACTGCGCCGCCGCGCTCGTCAGCTTCCCGGATCCCAAGAGCAAGATCCCGCTTAATTACATGATTGTCGAGGTGATGCTCGCTGAGATGTTCACGTTGCCGCAGCCACCGAGCATCGACATCTTCTACGGGTCGGCGTTCATCGAGCTGTGCAAGCTGGCGCCGAGCACGTTCCCGCAGGTGCTCGCGCAGGCCGTCGAGATCCTCTTTGAGCGGCTCGACACGATGAACATGTCATGTGCCGACCGCTTCTGCTCGTGGTTTGCCTACCACCTCAGCAACTTCCAGTTCCGCTGGAGCTGGGACGAGTGGATCCCCTGCCTCGGCGTCGACGCCGAGCTGCCGAAGCCAAAGTTCATCGGGGAGACGCTGATCCGATGCATGCGGCTCTCCTACCACCACAGGGTGCGCGAGATCGTGCCGGAGAGCTACCATCCGCTGGTGCCTGTGAAACCCGAGCCGGTGTACAAGTACGAGCAGAACGGTGCCAGCGTTCACAAGGGCGTGATGACCGCCCAGCAGCTGATGGCGGCCATCAAGGCGAAGTGTACGCCGGAAGAAGCTCTGGCGATCCTAAAGACGGTGCCGACACCGATGGACGAGGATGACGCCGCGTACAACCCGGTGAAGATCGACGTGTTCGTGACGACGCTGCTCTTCCTCGGCAGCAAGTCGTTCAGCCACGCGTTTGCCGGCATCGCCAAGTTTCATTACATCTTCAAGGCGCTCGCCGAGGTGGAGGATGCGCAAATCGCGATCCTGCGCAGCATGTACGACGTCTGGCGCAACCATCAGCAGATGATGGTCGTGCTCGTCGACAAGTTCCTGAAGACGCAGATCGTCGAGTGCTCGGCCGTTGCAAACTGGCTCTTCGCGAAGGACATGGCGCCCGACTTAACCAAGTTCTACGTGTGGGAGATCATGCACTCGTCGATCCGACGCATGACGAAGCAGGTGCAGAAGCTGCAGCAGGAGCTCGAGGACGCGCACGAGAAGATCGAGGCAGCGGCGCGCAACAAGGAGGCCGGCCTCGAGGCGGACGACGACGAGACGCCGACGGACGAGATGCTGGAGCGCATGGAGGAGCGACTGGAGACTCTGCAGAGCCAGCAGAAGAATCTCTTCCTCATCGTCTTCCAGCGCTTCATCATCATCCTCACGGAGCATCTCGTCAAGTGCGAGGCGTCCGGGCACGACTACAACACGCCATGGTACCGCTACTGCACGGGCCGTCTGCTCGAAGTGTTCCTCATGCATCACGACCAGGTGTTCAAGTACATCAGCACTCTCGAGTCGCTGCTGTTCACCAGCGACATCGACCTGCACATACTGGAGGTGTTCCAGCAGTTCTGTTCCCTGCGGTCGTGATGCGAGTAATCGTACAAGAGCCACGTTGATCGCCTCGCTCTCGCTGCATCGTCCGGACCAGGGTAAAAAATACATGGGAGCGATGAGCGATTCGCTCTTCAAACCTCCGAAATCGCTCCCATGAGGCTCAAAGTAGCTCCCGTAAAATTTTGACGAGAGCTATTTTTCCACAGACTTGAAAAAGAGCTCCCGTGAAAAAAAAAGAAATTTTTCCCCTGGTCCGGACGGGGTGTTGCCATGCAGAAACTGTTGACAGTGATGTATATTGATACCCGCTTTCTGTAGTCATGAGAAGCGAAATGGTGTCGTCCAGAAATTGTGTCCATGATAATGTGTCAATTGTCTCGCTGTCTCTGCCTTGTCAGGAGATCGGTAGTGCCGTGCAGGAACTCTCGCCTCTGATACGTTGGTGAATATTGTACCCGGCATGACACGTTGTGCAGAACTTTCCCCGTGAACTGCAGGGTTACATCCCTGATTGATCAGTGACTTATTTACAGCAAACAGAATAAGTAAGCCACTACACTACAGTGTCTCAGTGTTAATTCGTAAGTGTGTAAGATCATTGTGAAGCAGTCTGCAACATTTTTACAATGCTTATGTAAACTATATATTCTGGAGCATCGATTCTTGGTTTTTCATATATTTCCAGTTTTTTTTTATAATTGTTGACTACACTTGGGAGCATCTTCAAGCTATGATAATACAGATGTGCATGCGTGCGTGCATGTGAACGCGTGTGCGTATTTTTTACAAACGGTTTGGTGATAAGTTAACTTTTGTTACGTCAATATTTGATTGGCTATGATACGTGGAAACAGATTGAATTAACCTAAATCTAATTTTAATTTTTCAAACATTAATATTCAGATTGAAAGAATGTTACAACTGCAACCACTCGTCAAATACTTGAAGCTTGTAATAAAGTTATCCTATATGTATTACAATATTGCATATACACAAAGTATTACGTGTGGGTATACCTATTTGTAAATTTTAGTTGATTCATCTCTGTAACCATTAAATTGCCAATTTCAATGTTAAAACATTCAAATAGCTATTTCCCTCCCCTTCTTGTTAGAAATGATAATGTAGTCAATGTAGTAGTGTGACAGAATTGACTATCTTATGTAAGTTTTCCTTTACACTGTCTAAATTGGACAGTTGTAAGACAATTCATCTTAATCATCTTTTATTTCATGAATGGCATTGTCTGTTTGTAATTTTTTATAATTTCACTCGTCAGCTCTGAAGACATTTCTGTCAAAAATGTTGTTTTCGTGAATGTCTATAGTAAAGTGCTCTATTAAAGCGATAGTTTTCTTTATAACATGGTTGTTCTAGTGGTTTAATTTCATACCATATTGGTATGTAGAATTTTGGTGTATGATTCTGTTAGTGAATGTGTAATCAGAAAAGTGTATTTTTCTAACAGTGATTGAAATGAACTCGGATTTTTAAATTGTACATAACTATCAGAGCATATAATTCATGTTGATTTATATGCTCTGGCTGTATCTAGATCCTTGGATATCAGGTGTGACATCTATCACTGAGATTATTAGACCCCGTACAGACTACGAATTTTAGCGTGGGCTAACTAGGAGCGTACAGACTGCATATTTGACCCTACTTGAAATGAGTCGTCAGTTCTCCCACTGCTCAGTTCCCTGCTCGGCACGTCACCCCGCAGACAGCGAGGTACAGCGAACGTACAATTACGTGACCTAAATAAGGCTATGCGCATGCGCATTGCGAAACTTAGCGCGCACTAGGCACCGGACTGCATACAGACACAGCTTAGAGCGGGATAACTTGGTGCTCACTAAGTTAGCTGTGTTTTGTAAGGACGTAACGTCTAACTTGGAGCGAGATAGCGTGTACACACTGCAATATTTAAACGCTCGCTAGTTTAGTACCATATCAAATTTGTAGTCTGTACGGGGTATTAGTTTATCACATTTGCAAAAATGAGGACCGGGTTTTCAAACTATTTTTGTGAAATTATTAGCCGGTAGTTGGCGCTGGGGTCGATGTTGTCGTTCACTTGTCAAAATCATAACCAGCGTTATGGTCGTGTAAACTCTTGAGGTTTGCTATTTTTGCATGTATCGCGATCAGTCTTTTCCTATGACAGGCTATGTACATTCATTTGTTAAAGTTGTTTATGCATCCGTATTTTACATTGTTAATCTTTTTTCGGTCTATCGGACCTTCGGTCTATAGGGCTGCCCCTGTGGAATTTGGCGGGTTTAGTGCATGGGCACTTGGAAATGGAACATTTCAATAATAAAATCGTGTTAAATAAACACGAAATGTATTTACTACTAAAGTGGCAATGTTTATATTTTCTATAGACTAGAAATTCCACGTAAATACTCTTCAAATGCTATTGCAACGTCACAATCTCTCGACGCACGCTCGCTGTGCACAAGCAACAGAAATATAGAGCAGGTGGAGTGAGCGTCAAACTCGCATAACCATGACAACGCTCTTCGTTTCACACCATCACAGCAAAAACACAAACAGCTGCCTATCTTCTGGTATCTCAAACTGCATGCAGTGCCCCTTCGTACACTCTAGCTCTAGTACTATAGCCCGCTTACATTGACTGCCGCTGGCAGCGAATGTCCCTGCTGCCAGCGGCAGTCAATGTAAGCGGGCTATAGTACTAGAGCTACGTACACTCAGGATACCACTGCCACAATGCTAGCACTATTTAAAGTGGGCGGAGCTCCGGGGAAATCCAGCGAATGGAGATTCGTAAACAACGTATGATTTGAAAGAGGTAACTGGGAGCACAATCCGCGAACTATTTCGTATCACTATTTTATCAAATTTTTCATGAAAATTCAAATAACGGTCGGATTTTTAATATCTTTGCAACCTTTATTAGTCCAAATCTCATTACATAGGATACGAGAAACGTGGCTGCTGTAAAACTTGTAGTAAAAAAGCGTTACAAATTGTAACGGAAATCTACTTGTGGCAGTGGTGAATTGAGCGAGAGCGAGAGCGCCATCTGGCGTGGCGTTTGCTGGTATATATGCGTAGCCGAATGTTTACTTGTTCGAATTATAACTTGCATTTTGATACTCCACAATTTTTACCAGAGAAATCTGGTAAATTCTTGAACAAAACTTCCACTCCATGTCAATGTAAATGGGAGCAACTGCTTGTTTATGCACCATTCAATTGAAACTCCGGCCCCTGGGAAAAGGCAGGGAATTTAAACACTTGCTTAATGTTAAAAACAGCAATTTTCCAGCCCATAAGGGGCAGGTAGTCTGGTAAAACCCCTTCTAACCGGGGATCATTTCTCAGTCTCCAAACAAAACTATATTCTGGTTCGTAAAGTCCAGAGTAGAGTAGTTTTGGATTTTCATATAATAAACGGGCAGTTGCTCCCATTTACATTGCTGTTGAGTGGGAGTTTTCCTCAAAAATCTGCCAGATACCTTAGGTTGTACCAAATGCCAAGGGTGATAATCCAACCAAGTGAACATGGAGCTACACATAGATACCAAAATGGAGGTAGTTGGTTGTGTATTTGTGCTGTGATGGTCAGGTGTGAAACGAAACGAGCGTTGTGCGAATTTGGCCCTTACGCTTTCCCACCTGTTATATATTTCTGTTGTTTGTGAACAGCGGCATGTGTGCCGTGAGATTGCATGTTGCAAAAGAGCATTTGAACAGCATTTACAGGAAAATATTAGTAATAATGGGTGAAAGAGAGTAGAGAAACATTAGGACTTTAGTAGTAAAATACCAGGACCCGGTTCCACAGTCGTGGATTAACTCTTAACTCTGAGTTAAATTCCTTAACTCCTTAACTCCTTAACTCCTTAACTCCTTAAATTCCTTAACTCGGAGTTAAAAGTTAACTCGGAGTTAAATTCCGTTTCACAGTCGTGGATTAACTTTAACTCTGAGTTAAATATGCCTAACTCAGAGTTTAAATTTAACTCTGGTTCGAACCTGGATTAAACTCTTAACTCAGGGTTAAAAATCAAGTTACATTCGATCTATGATTCGATTTAGTTATAGATAGTCTTCGGTATAATCCTTTAGACTAGTTTCTACGAGGTTAGTTTAGCTCTAGGGTACTAGTACTACAGCTAATTAGTTTATCTAGTACTGCCCCGTGTCCGATCCCCCGCTGCCGCTGGAACATAGGTGTTTGTTTACGTTTGGTGTACATTGGTCGGCCATTGATGGCGTACCGATGCTGATCCAAGCATCCGTACTTCTACCATGTTCGTGCGTCTATCGTCTATGCGTCTATCATGCGTCGTATCGTGTTCATCTGTTCTAACTACGTGGAATTATGGGATACTAACTCTGAGTTAAAACATTTAACTCTGAGTTACTTAACTCAGGATTTAATTCATGTTTATGAAACCCAAATTTAACTCGGAGTTACTTAACTCAGGATTTAATTCATGTTTATGAAACCCAAATTTAACTCGGAGTTTACTAACTCAGAGTTAGTGAGTTTAACTCAGAGTTAGTCTTAACTCAGAGTTAAAGTTAATCCACGACTGTGGAACCGGGTCCAGTAGTACAAGTCTGGTACACTTTGTGTATACATATATGTACCTCGGGTACATATCAGTATAGAACCTGATACAACAACGACGCCTTCAGCAGCATTAAGATCACCTAGAACTATGATG